CAACTTAAACTGCCATGTGATGCTAGCTACACTCTCCTCATAGCTGAGCACTACCGTGTGGAATAAGTTAATCGCAACTTAAACTGCCATGTGATGCTAGCTACATTCTCCTCATAGCTGAGCACTACCATGTGGAATAAGTTAATGTTATGAAAAGCCACCTGAGCATGTCTGTAAGTGCTTTACTCTCAGAGGAACCACCCACCACACTGCCACAGCACTGCTCACTGTCTCTGCAAGGTGGTGGGGCTCATCTGCAACCACGAACTCACATGGCCTGGGCTAGTGAAAAATGGGGCGAACCGACTGCAGCTGTGGTGTTCCCCAACATGCTGATGGAAAGCTGAGCTCAGCAGAGTCAAAAGGGTTTTTGAAGCCACCTGTATGCTTAGCATGTAAGAAAAGCATAGGAGTACTTACCTACAAAGTTCACTGTACTGTCAACTTCACTTTTTATACTGGAGGACAGGAAATAGTCAGAAGTGACATCATTTAGCCCATTAATCGCAAAAGATGATTCAACTGGCTCTTGCTAGAATGAAAACAGTACAGTTAGGTCAGGTTTGATTTACTTTAGGAGCCTGGACTCAGTTCATCTCTTTGTTCTGAGACAGTAATAAATCATATTGCTTCTGCCTGCCATATACTCCCTGCTAGATGCAGTCTTAGAACGACTATTTTGAATGAGAAGAAGCCAGAGTCTACTCCACTTCCAAACCTTATGCTTTGAAATTAAAGCTCTTTAATGTTCAGATTTAGAGTAAGCCTTCAGAGAGCAAGAAATTAGTGGGCTATTTAGTACAAGAGACTAACATTTGGAACAAACAAGGAAGAAACATTGCTTTAAAACTGTACTCTATTTAATATTCATCCTCATTCCCTTCCAGAAATGTCGCATCTCATAGTGCTCACTGAAAGGAAGCCTTAGCTTCTGTACAGCAATTACTAAATTCCAGTTTTAATTTCTCTCTGTAAAGCAAACCAAAGTGTTTACACTAAATACCGCCTCTCAGATCACATCATAAACATTACCACAGGGCAACAACACTGGGAAAACACCACCTGTTCTACATGGACTGAGCTTCCCACAAGATGCATCTCTGCAGGTCTAGTACACTTCAGTGGGAATCTAAAAACCCCCCTGCCATAAACTCAGGATCTCTTCAGAAAGCTGTAAAAAAGGTCATAGAATCATAGACTGGCCTAGGCTGGAAGGGACCTTAGAGATCATCTAGTCCAACCTCCCTGTTGTGGGCAGGGACTCCACCTCTCGACTAGACCTGGCAACACATGTCGACCAAGCAGGAATCGAACCCGCGACCTCGGTGTTGGTCATTATTGTCAGCACCATGCTCAAAACACTGAGCTAACCGGTCCACTCTCCTTCCTTGTGTTGGCTTCCTTACAGGTTTACTGGTTACAAAGTTTAAAGCCTCCTGCTCCTGCTCTGGGCTGGCCATGCCAGCCCTGCGAAGGAAGTTTTGGCTGCTGAGCCAGAGACACCCGCAGAGAGGTGCAGAGCTGCCAGTTGGACCTGATACCACACCACGCTCATTTTTGCTGCAAGGACAGGGCAAAGGTGGACCTCAAGACTTGTGGCGCTAGCCCTTCACAGTACTAACTGTATGAACTGTTACCACAGGGACAGAAACCTGCACGAGAGGTCCTTCCTGGACGCCACATGCTGCGACGATGATCCACTCAAGAAGAGCTCTCACTTTGGCGCAAGTCTGCTCCTTCCCAGCCATTAGGCGAGGCAAACATATACCTGTCCCAAGGGCCCTCTGCATATCCGAAGGGTGCAAAGTCTGCTCAAAGAAGTAATATTAACTGCTATTGAACCACGGAGAATCATGACTGCAGGGAGAGGTTAGGGTTGCAAACCGGAGCCCTGAGCCTCTGGTGCAATGCCCCAGCAAACACAGCAGCCCCCATGCCAATGCTGTGCACCCAGCACCTTGCTCAGCTTTACTTGAGGCTTGGTTATAGAGCAGTTTATTTAGTGGCTACTTTTGAGCTATGGAAACCAATATACATCTTGGAACTTGGGTGACGGTGCCAGATGCACAAAGGGACTTGGACACCAGCACAGTTGGTCTTAAATCACCTGAATTTTCAGCGACCAGATGTCTAGACTAAGCTAAATGCATGGGGAAAGGTGTCACTTAGATTTAAAAAATGTCTCAAATGGGAAGCTGCATGCATACTCAAAAGGATACATCAAGGAAAAGCTAGAGATTAAGACTCAGGCAGGCAGCTCAACCCTTTGTTTCAAGGGAAAGGGCTCATTGCTGAGAATTCATTTTTCAATGGAGAGACCTCGTTTGCCCAAAAGCCCAGTGGCAGGAGACGTATATGCGAGGTGGGAGACCTGCTTGCGGCCCCTCCTTCCCTAACGTGGAGCAGGGATTTGCTAAGGCCCAGGTATCACATCCACAGGACAATCAGTAACCATCCTGAGCACCCTGCTCAAGCTCAGCAAGGTCTGGCAGGGCTCTTCACCCCCACCAGCAGGTGCTCTGGGTGCCCACAAGGTCTGGCAATGGCAACAGCGGGGCGCCCCATGCGAGACCCCTGCTACGCTGCAGTCTTTTTGCAGACCTGCACTCGGGTCCTCAGCTTCAACCTCTGCTAGTATTATCCCTTTGCAGTGACCAGGCAGATCGTGGAGAAGCCTCCTATTCATCCCCAGGAAAGAGAAGTTTTTTAGGGTAACTGAAAGGCGTGCAACGCAAAACATGTGGCTCGGATCTCAGGTAATCACATCACAGAGGCAAAGCAATTATAAGCAGCTTTCCATGCTCCAAAATGTGCATTTACATTAATTCATCCACTACCCTTCCCTGCTGTGATAGCCTTCAATGCTCAACAGTCAGTCTACAGTAGCTGAACATGGAAGGAACATGTGTTTTAAAATCCAGGCTTATCTAGAGACCAGCTCCTGCACGCATTTGTCAGAATAAGGGGGAATACACAAGAGTACTACCTGCACCCAGCTCAATGTCTTCAAGAGCTAAGTGGCCATACCATAGCTGGTGCCTGGTGAGCTGTATGCTCATAGGAGGTATTGCTAGTAGGTAGGTGTATGTGCTGGAAGCACAGCCAGCTCAGCTCACTGCTCCTGCGTCGCCCAGCTTCATGCTTCTGTGCAGCTCGGGGCAACCAACCTGGAGGGAAGCATTCCCAAAAGTTGCAAGCATTGCCCCGTGGGCACCTACTTCCAGGCATGATCCACATGTACTGATCTGTGAGGCATCACCCTCAGCAAGGACTATTTGTGAGACAAATCCTAATGGACAGGATGAAATTGTTCAAGCACCTCTACAGCTTTTCAGGCCTTTAATATTCTGACTAAAAGAAAGATTACGAAGGAGGGGAATGGCAAAGTGCTGCTGCCAGCTGTGGCAGGCATCACACACTTCTCTGTTCTGACCAAAGGAGTTTACTGGCTCCCTCTGAACAGCGGCTGCCATCGGAGTCACATTACAATAAGCACATGTGGCTGTGTGATCCAGATGGGATGGTTAAAAAGCAGTTCCTTTAAAATAATTTAAAAATCACAGTATTCTGACACGTAACTCCACAACTCACAACAGCGACTGCCTTTCAAACCTGATTTCAACAGAGGCCCCCAGGGTCACCTGGCCCAGACCATCTCCTGGCCAGCGGGTGCAGAACCTGTGCCCGGGGTATGAGCGAGCAGCAGGGAACCAAGCTACCCTCCTGCTGCAGACACAGCTGCTACCTGCAGCCAAGAACACCAACTTTACCAAAGGCTGAGAGTCTGAAAACTTTGTGATTTGCTGTTCGAAAAAGGTCGAAGGTGGACCAAATCCTGCCAGTGTGTACTACCAACCACCTCGCAGAGGCACTCGGCAGAAGTGCGAAAACTAGGTAACACCATGATTTGCAGGGAGAGCTAACATCAGTCTGCATCTACACTCTGAACAAGCAGAAATCTCAGGCAGTGACTTAGAAGCTTCACAACTGAGGTCTTCTAACTCACAAAACATGAGTAGAAGGTGCAACTCTGACAGAACTTCTCCCCCTTGCCTAAAGGAAAACGAATTTCTAATGCATTACGCACAGAAATTAACTGCTCTAAAAGGTAGCTCCACTGTTCAGAAGCATTCCTTCTGTAATTACTGTACTTCTACTTACACAGACAAACAAATGGCAAATGTGTTGCCGAGACTGCCAGTTTTCCAACCTCCAGGCATTTTAACACAAGGGCTGTGTCAGCTGATGACGTCAGTCAAGGCTCTAACAGCCTTCAAACTTTAAAAAAAAAAAAACAACATCCCATGTAACTGTAGCTACTTAACCAAACCACAAGCATGAGAGATTTGCAAATATCCACCACAATATACTATTGTGGCTATTAAAAAAATTTGCAACAGATTGTTTTCACAAGCTCTCGCACTATTAAACAGCCATTTCTTACCTTAATTTGTTTGAATTTGTCATCTTTCTCAGACTTCGTTTTTTTTCCTGCAACAACAGAAGGAAGATTTCTTAAAGTCCTGTTTGCCATGAGTTATCCTTCACACTTTCTATATTCACCAACAAATAGCCCCAAAATGCGCCTCAAAATGGCAGCACCTCCTAGGAAAGGGAGAACACATTTTGCTTTACTTTTAAGTCCCTGTTAAGGCCTGGACAGTCAAAAATTCACCTTGAACATTGTGGCTTTGTGTTTTGTTTTTAAAGGACTGAAAAAACCCAGAAAACACATGATGGAACTGAGGAAAGAAACTGCAGTATAAATATTAAGGTGAAGAATACAGAAGAGTGACAAACTAAGCAACAAGGCCTGCTAAAAAAAGGAATGGGAAGAAAAATACTCTTAAAGGGAAGGGAAAAGAAATTAAAATATATTTCTTATCACATTTATGACACTCTTACTGCAGCTATAGGAAAAGGCAGGTTGTTCTTTAATTTAACGTGAAAAGACATCACAATAATCCCCAACAAATACTTTTGTAAATAGTTGCAACCTGAGACGGGGGCATACTGTATGTTCATGCAAAAGTGTTTTATGCAATCAAGCTGGACTGGAGAATTCAAAAAACCCACACAGCTTATGACCCCCTATAAAATGTCATGTGCCTTAGCAGACCCCGGTGTTGCTGCCCCTGCTCTGACCTGATGAGACCCTGATGTGGAAGCTCAGACTTGCCGATGCAAGCTCAGCTCTACCCCGCTGTTTGCAGACGTATGCCAGGAATTTCTCCCATCTCTACTACAAGATAGCATTGAGAATTGGAAATGTTCACAGCCAAATTCTTTTGCTCTCACTCACACATAAATATAGCCACATGCCACATAGAAAAAGGCATGTGAGAATATATACAGGGCCTAAAATATGTCAGATTTTTATAGTAACTGGACTTGCTGCAGAATCCTCCTCTGCTACAGCCCCCATGTCCAGAATCTCAGCTTTCATTAAGAGCTTTTCTAGCTCTTTCAGCAGAGAGGAATTTACCACGCACAACGCAACAGGCTATGGTTCACGGAAATACGTCTGAACCATTAACAAGCAAATGGAAACAGTTTCAGAGCAAATGTTCTACTTTTTGCAGACTGATCTCCCTTTCATAGTATGATTCTGCCCCAAAAATCATTTCCAGTCACACTGACCTTAAACTAAAGACACACCTTTCGCTCTTCAATTTAAGAAAATAGCAAACTGAGCTACAGGTGAACTGAACTGGATTTTAGAGGAACACCATGCATTTGATTTGCAGGTTATCTTTTCATCCAAAAATCCTAGACACCAGAGGACTAATGAAGCCATCGTTCTACTCCATAAACCAGTAACAAACCCATAAGGAAGCCAAAGAGCCATAAAGAAGCCAATGTTTCTACTCGTAAGAAACCAAATACCCCTAAGACTGACTTTGCGGTTAGGTCCTCTCCTGGCAGGTGGGAGACCTAATGCCTAAATTTGGGGATTCAAACTTAAGCTTCCCATTTCACCATCATTGTGCTGTGAGGGCTGTTTTTTCACAGCCTAGTGTAGCTACATAACTAACGAGGTGGCTTCACAGTTTAATGACCTGAGCAGCGAGTGTATTGCTCCCACTCAGCTCAAGAGAACACCAATTTACTCCTACCCTTGCTTGACAAAATGAATGCCATCGTATTCTGAACAAGCCCTACTGAGTTAAATGCACTGATCCCTAATGTTTCCTTTGCCTAAAGGAAACCTGGGACTAGCATCTGAACAGAACTCCATTGGCTTTAGTAGAATGAACACAATTTACACATATCGCCAACTTGGGGGTCTTGTTGATTCTCTGTCAAGCAGCTTGTTCTCTTAATTGAATGTCTGTAGCCCGTTTTTCATACAGCTGTTCCTAAGTTCTGGGGAATATCTGGATAAAACGATCCAACATCACAGCAGAAATAGAACCGGCACATTTTGTGGGCCCCAAGTTGAGTAACAATGCTCCCAACACCCTTTTCATGTTGAGCCGCTCTCCCCCCTACCTTTTTTGGAAGGTCTTTCAGATAACGGCAGCATCCGGTAGACCCTGAAGGCATTGTTTCCTTTCTTTATACTTTTGTCCTTCACTTCTTCTATGTCGGGCAGGGAGTTCATAGCACAACGGAAGTTTGCCTTCCATGTCTTTGGATCGGGTTTATCTACTCCTGACTGGTATTTTCCTAAGCAGGAAAAGAAAGTTAGGTGCACAACACACAATTGAAAACCTAAGACAATTTAATAACAGCATAGGCTAACTTCACAGTACCAGCCTTCAGTTCCCATGACAAGTGTTCAGACAAGAGCTGAGGTTGCACGAGAGTGTCCTGATCTCATTCCCGTGCACATTTCTAGAACACATGATGAACAGTTTCTGCTCAAGAAAGAGCCAGGGCACTGCAGATCAGATGTGACTCCACAACAATGTGGAAAAGCTTGCACAGCATTTACCTTTATTATGTCTGGCTCAAATCCATAGAAAGGCATAAAAAAGCCTAAGGGCCCAAGTCTACAAAGTGCTGAGTGTGCTCTACTCTCAACAATTTTGAACCCAATCTTGTTAATGTTTAAATCAATTTTTACTGTGCTACGCAACGCAAATGAGTTGCGGCACTTCAATAAGGCAGGAGAGTACTGCAGGCCTTAAAAAAACCACTTGGCCTCCCGCAAATGTAGATATTTATACTCACTCTCTGTGTTAGTAAAAGCAGAGGCAAGAAAGAAGGAAAATAAAACTTTAAAAGAGAAAACAATGCAAAAATCCATCCTGCAGAAAAAGAGTTCCAATACCTGTGTGAATTGCCCAGTTTCTAAACAGAGGAGCATCTTTTTCAACATCCCACCCATGTCTTGCGGCATGCATCCAGGGAATTTGAAAAATCTTCTTCTCCTGGAAGGGAAAACAAACAGGAAATGCCAACCCTGATTGACTTGAGGGATCTTCTGATGACTTTAAGTCACTTATTTAAAAGCACAGTTGCAGCATCTGCAAATGTTTTGCTTCCTTCTAACCCACTGCTGCTGTCACTGAACTCAATAGGAAAATATCCACTGGCATCACTGAAAGCAGAATACAGCTCTGAGTACACAAAACACTCAGAAGCCCCTTCATGGACGATGCGCCTGGCAGTTTTCCAGGCTGACACATTCATAAAACATGCAGTGCTACAATTTCTAAACATTCAAATGAAGGCTAGTTTTGGAAGCACAGTTACTTTTATGACTAGAAAAATTACATATGAAACTAAATAATCATATGAACTAAATTCAAGGGATTTAGAATTCAGCCTGTAAAATACTTACAGGGTGAACGAAATGGATATCTCAAATTTATACACCTAGCAAATGGACATATGAATATATCAACTGTAGACATCTCTCCAGCAGGGATAAAAAATATGACACCCATGTGAAGGTGTGGCATTGAAGATAGTCAAATGTATTTTAGTTTAGAAACTTTAGGCCAACGAGAAGTGCATTTAAAGCAATCCAAAGGAAGGGGTGTTTTTAATTAGTTTTTCAACACACAATATATATAGTTAAATCAGGGCATGCCTTATGTGGTGGAAGTATAAACTGATTCCCAAAGGGGTCATAAAAACTCATGGAAGATAGTACACTGACGACTATCAAAGATTATAGCTTTGGGACGCAGGTCCAGCTCTGGAAGCTTGAATAGCTCTTTCCAAGCTTGAACAGCATGTTTCCTGTACTCCTTCCACAAGCACTTAGCACACAGGATGCTGAGACAGATGGATGCTGCATCAGATGTGCTTTTACATCATATGACATGGGAACCAATTCCTGTGTGCTGACCTAGAGAGCTGCTTCAGAACTCTTCACGCTTATTTCTGCAGAGCCATACAAAAGGAGTTTGCTCCACACTTGTTTTTTCTCCCCTGCCGGGGGGAATACATCTTATCTGGCCTCACATGCAGACATCTTGCACTATAAACACTGCCCTTACAGGTTAGATCCACTTCTCGCCCTGTGAAGAGAAATGCACTTCCAGTGCAAAAAGCACCCTCCTCCTGAGGTGTCCACCTGAGCTACGCCAACTGAATTGCAACCTGAAAGAGCCCATTTCTCTCCACTGACTGCAGATAGCTCTAAGCAGGCAGTTCTCCTTTAAGTAACTGCATTGTACATGTCTGTGGTTGGGTGAGACGAATCCTTTGCTCTTTCCCCTTCCTCAGACAACTCTTCTTGTCTGTCTGGTTAATATTTCACTAATGTCAAGGTTAATTCTATTTCCCTTCCTTCCCATGTGATCTTCTCTTCTTTGAGCTGGTGTTTTGTACTGTCCTTCAACTCTTTTCTTCAATCCTTTCTCTCATTTACATTCCCTTGTTCAGAATTGCATTCTTCTGTTCTTGCCTGGCTTCATCTTAATTTGGTGAAAGCACAGATTTAACACATTCTTCAGCCCCCTTCAAGCCCTCATATTCTCCCTCTTAATCTATTCCCATCACTTCTCTCACATGCCTTTTACCTCCCTACTCTTCCCCCTCTATGCAATTAAATCATTCTACAGAGCTGCTCTCCTCTTTCCCCAAATAGAAACGGTCTAAAAAAAAAAACCTTCTACCCTACTATCCTGTGGTTCACAGCACTGCTGTATTCATCAGAGCTTCCTTGCCTTTACTCTCCCATAGACAATAAGAAGCATGGAAAAAATATCATACTTCCAAAGAAAAAATTTTCTATGAACAAGAACTTTAAGAACTGACCAGATTAAAAAGTCTTCTCACTCTTGGTGATGGGGAGATGTTTGAACAACTTTAGACAATGCTACAGAGGTTAAACCACGGATTTCATATTTCGTACGATAATTCAAAAAGTTCTGTAGGAACTAGCAGACCAAACAAGACTCCAGACATAGCATCCTGTCATCATCGACCATACTCATTGCTTCAAAGGAAGGTGCCAGGATGTTCTCAACAGCAGCCTTAACTGTTCATTATAATGTTTCTGTTCATTACAGAAACCTCTTCCCAGTCCCAGATGTCTTGAAGCACACAGAATTATAGCAAATTGTAATATAAATAACAAAATAATAGAATTCATGTGTATTATAATTTAGTAATAGATATCTAAGTTTACCTACCTGTGTAGAAACTACAGATTTTCTCAACAACTATCAAATGTCTAATCTGCTCTGAAATCCTGCAAGACTGCTGACTGCAGCAATACCATGTGTTTGTGTTTACATAGATGATTTCTATTTAAATACTAATTTTTGATTTCACACTTTATCAAAAACATTCACCTATATCCTTTTTCAGCTGATGCTTCCTAATAGGAAACAGCTCATCGGTGCTTTCTCTTAGACTTGCAAGAGCACAAGCTGTCTGATAAAACACTCCATCACTGGACATTTCTGTAAGAGTCTTGTGTTTCTGTTAAAAAATTAGCCTCACCTAACGTCAAAAGCACAACCCACAAAGCTTTAACAGTGTAACTGGAACTGCTACCAAACTCCAGTGGGGACATCAAAAGGGAAAGGGTAGAGGTCACATTCTTAGAAATAGGCAGGAAAGGGAAAATAGAACCAAACGCTTGCAACCAATGCACTGAAAAACGCGCCAAGCAGGTGAATGAGCATGAGATCACACACAAGCTAGAAAGTCGTAAAACAAATTTTAAATATCAGCATCTGTCTGGAGGGTAATACTCCAAGCATCCATCAAAGCAGCCTCTCAATTCCTGTCACAGCTACTCTGAATGTTTCCAGTCTAATTTCCTTTTCCAGAAAAGGTCAGCAGGACAATGACCTCTCATTATCCCCCTCCTCACACCACCTTTGCCCTCAACTGAACTACGTAATTTCCTTCACACCTCCCAATTTTTCCTCTCTGGGAAGATAAAGAAAATCCCTTCCTCCCTCAGTAGCAGGATAACGTTTTCACCAGGAAGGTACACAAGTATTAATTTTTTAAGCCCTATACAAAGGGGTCTGTTCTGGAGGGGAACACAAAGCAGGATGTATAACATGATAACTGACAGAAGGGGAAGGAATTAGGTAAATCAGCTGTACCTGATTTGTCATTTTTAACTGAGAGGTTTCATTCCTTTCTCAACCTGGAAAAATTCCCCGCAAAGAGACAGCCAATAACCAACCCAGAATGGTAATAACTACTTGAGTATTTAAATCTTATTTCCTTAAAAGTCATGCAGACACACACACAAGTGCCATTCTCTTGTTAATCTGACCCACCTTCTATTCTGTACTCTGAACTGTCCTTTGCCAAACTTTGATTAAAATATACAAATTTCAAAATTCTACTGCCTCCAGAGTTGATTCAGTGGGTGCAGAACAGGCTGTGATACACATGACACTGTATCACTGATTCCATGCATGGCTTTGTTTATGGTCAGGATTTACAGCAAAAATAGAAATATTTTTGGTTCAATGATTCATTGTTGGAATAAATGTTTACATATTTTTAAACAGAAATGCTCACAAGTGCAACTAGCATGTTGAGCACTGTAAAGGCAACCCAGAAAGGTGCCAAATCAGAGGGCAGGACAGAAGTGAGGAACTAGAGTTAAACAAACCTCAAGGCAGGCCATTTAGCCTGGTATCCTCTTTCTGGTAGAAGCCAGGCTTTGTTGAACAAAAAAAAATAAATATCAAAACAGTTGATCTGTGAGACAAGCCTTGGTCAATACAGAATATGCTAACTAAGGACAAAATCTCTTACTGACTCTTTCATGCAAACAGTTTATGATAGGAGCACAAGGCAGAAACTGCTGTAACAACACAATCAGAGAGCTGTAAACACTGAACAACATGACATGCCTTGCAAACTGCCTTTACGGACTGGTAGGCTGAACTTGGAAGAACGAAGAAAACACTGCACAGTGGCAGTATTTTCACACACTGCAGAGCAAAGGAGGCAAATGCATTCCTGAGGTGTACCAAAAAAAGGTTACATGAACATAACCTACAGATGACAACGTTCTATTTAAGAGTAATATGCCCAAATCTGAAATGCTGTGTCCTGCTAAGCACAGAGAAATCATTTCAGGATTAGGCAGGAATGCCCAGCAAAGGACAGCAGAGATGGACTGTCAGCAGGAGTGACCTGACGCTGAAGCAGACACTCAAGGAGAAGAACCCATAGGGACCTGAACGTGGGACTCAAATTACAAAGACTACAGTAAAAACTCGTCTCTTCCTCCTATTCAGCTGTGACCCTATTATGCAAGAACAAGGACCTACTCAAATTCACAGGGCAGCTAACTAAGGAATGGATAAAGCAATATTTATTTACCCAGCCACAGCATGCGAGAGACACTGATGCAGGAAGTTCCTGAGAAAAACCTTCGCAGCAGAAATTTAAAGGGCTCCTGATTAATTTTAGAGTCACGAGGGTTTCTAGCTAATTGCCATTCTTTAGCTGTAAAAATGAACACCTGAGCACCACAACTACAACTACAGGGAGGATACCAGACTAACTGGATTAGCATCAACCAGAGTGGCAGCATTGGTGCTTCTGCACCTGATTTTGTGCAGTTCTACCCATTTTGATAACACAGTAGTAGCCTCTGTTAGCCTCATGCTTTTTCAGTGTGCTGAATTATTCTCCTGCACACTGCAGAACGCATACAGTATTTCCAGGGTTTATTACTGTTCAAATTCTCAAATACACTCTTTGCTTTTACTAAGCCTATTAAAAACAAAATTCAAATTGGGCACTGACACTTTGGAGCCCATGCTTGTGCTCTCTGAGTGTCTACAGCTCTCAGGGCCAGGAATATTAGGTTTGGGTCTGCCAGAGGACAAGTTACCCCACTTTCTCCCAGACTAAGAAGTATCAGAGAAGTGTCACGTCTGAAACAGGAGATTATTGCTTCAACACAGTCCAACACAGAATGCAGCCTTCTACCTCAGGAGAGCATTTTGTTCGCATCTCTCTAACGCTACTTTGTGACCAATCTGTTCCCGGCTTAAAAAAAAAATAAATAAAAACTCCCCCAAACAACTAGTGTAATCTCCAGAAACGCTCGCTCCAACAACAAAGAGCTGGAAAATGCTTTCAAAGGAGCCACAAATCCAGCAGGCCAAAGCAGGGCGCCTCAGATCTGGCAGGCGAGGCCGGAGGAACAGG